TTATTTTTTTTTTAAATTGTTCCAGGAGATATTCCTTTTTAAATCATTCATTCACTATATGACTTTACTAAAGTATATGGCAATTAAGGTGATTTAATTATAAACAATTTCGTTTTCATGTAATACTTTCTATAGCAGATAATGTGAATTTTGCTTTCAAAGCACCAATTAGCACAGTCACTTTTTTTTTTTTTTAACAAAAGCAATGATAGATTATCATTTAAAAAAAAACAACAAAAAACAATTACATTTCTGTAATTGGCAGCAAGAGTACCCGGTGCGGTTTTTGGAAAATATGGCACCTTGTGCGAGTATGTGTGTAGAAGTCCATTCACAAATTAGAGGTAATAAGACCCGTTTATTTTATATATGTTGTTTTAAAAGTTACTTATATACCTGATTAAAACTTTAAGATCTAATATTCTGTGGGCGTAGTAAACAATATTGTGTTATTAGAACGTTGGCCCTGGGTTGTTTTTATATGTTGGGTATGATTACAAGATGTACACAAACATTGTTGATTATCCATTGCTAATCTGCTATTCTATATTACAGTTATAATTATTAATAATAATAGATACAGTTACATATATAACATCTCCCTTTTTTATCAAAAATAATAATAAAATTAAAATTAAACATGTTCTTTTAAATAATAAGGTTTCTTTACAGTCCTACCAGATCGAGTAACGTAGTTATGTCCATTTGAAAACTTTGATGATATTATACCTCTTTCAGTATTTAGTGACACAACACTTCTATTAGGTTTTGAAGGACTCACAGGCACGTCTAAATTTGAAGTGGTCCTGCTATTCTCAGGTAACTCGGATTCATCTACAACTTCATTCTCAGTTGTTTTGCATTGCAAACTCTTTCTGATTAGTTCCTTTAAGAAGGTCTCTTCTGTTCCTTTCTACAATTCTTCCATCTGTTCTTATAATCCTGTATGAATGTGGTCTCTGCTTCTTCTATAATTTTCCCTCTTTCATATATATTTTTTTTTCTTCCTTTCTCTTTTATGTACACATGATCTCCTACCTTCAGTGGTTTTAACGGTTTTGCATTCTTATCATAATAACTTTTTTGCTAGGTTTGTCTCTTCAGTAAATGTTGTTTATGGTCTACATATCGTTTAGCTTGGACGAAATTTTCTTTTATTTAATGTTTTTTTAAAAATTGATTCCAGTGGTTTATGGTCACTTTCCACTGTAATATATTTTCCAAATATATACTGGTGAAACACACGCAAATACGATAGCTAAAGTTTCCTTTTCAATTTGAGCATAATTCTTTTGTGTATCTGTTAATGCCTTAGATGCATATGCTATTGGTGAATTATTCAGCAGTAAGACTGCTCCTAGTCCTTCTTGAGATGCATCTTTAGATAAAACTACTGGCATGTTTATATCATAATACTGTAAAACAGGTTTATTAACTAAGACATCTTTTAGTGTTCTAAGTGCTTTTTCGTGTGTTACATTCCAGTTCTAGATAATTAGTTTTTTCAATAAATCTCATAAACATGATGTCAATTCTGATACATTAGGTATAAATCTAGAAGCATATGAATTATTCCTAGGAAAGTTCCTAATTGACATTTTTTGGTGGTTTTATATTTAGAACAGCCTTAATTCTGCCTTCATCTGGTTTTAAACCATCTTTAGAAAATATATGTCCCATATATTTCACTTCATTCAGCTCAGATTTACATTTATTTAAATTAACTTTAACATTATTTTCTCTGGCTTTGTCCAACAACAACTTTAATCTTAAATCATGTTCTTTTTTATCTTTACCCCAAACTAATAAGTCTTCTATATACAATTGATCTCCTTCTAAATCACTAAAAATTTCAGAAAACTTCTGGTGATGAATTCAGTTCATATGGCAACCTTAAAAGCAATATCTACCAAATGGAGTATTAAATATAGTAAATTCACAACTTGAATCTGACAGTTTAATCTGACAGTCTGCTAAAATGCTTTGTATCTAAAATACTAAACACTTTTGCATATGTCATTTGAGATGAAATTTCTTCAAAGGTTGGTATGTGACCTAATGTTCTCTCGGAACTACTCTGATATGCGCCCTCAAGTCGCCAAACATTTTTCGCGAGAAACTTCACGCTGCTATATTACTATCTAAATTTTTTGTTTTTGCACATGCAAAAACTACGCTTTGAACACACGATTTAAGCTAAAAATCTGAAACAAAAACAAAAAATTTAGATAGCAAAAACGTAAAGTTTCTAACCAAAAATATTTGACAAGAATCCATGTACACAGCATCCTGTTTAAACTTAAAAAAACATCTACGAATTGCACAATTTAGGCAAGGAATGAATCTACGAACTATGCACACCTCGCTTTAATAAATTAACATAACAACAATAAATTTCAAAGAATACCACGTACACAGCATCCTGTTTAAACTTCAAAAAACATCTACGAATTGCACAATTTAGGCAAGGAACGAATCTACGATCTACGTACATCTCGCTTTTATGAAATAACATAATAACAATAAATTTCAAATAATACCATGTACACAACGTTCTGTTTCAAAAACCACAGTAACGATAGAAATTCATACTAAATAACCAATGAACATAACATTCTACAAAATAAGAACAAGAATAAAATAAAATGCACTTACCATAAATTAATGCTTTTTCGAGCAGCAGAAATACCCATTTCATACCGCCTTTAACATGCCGCCACTATCGTATTTACATGACAGCCAGACACACTCCATAAAATTCATACTATGGTTCACAAATAAATAAAATCACAAATCCCTACATCTATCATGCACAGCCATTAAAAATAATCTCCCAGACCCTCTTTCCACACCTTCAAATACCCACTACCCCTTAACATGATGGCCACAATGATATTTCCTTTTGCCAAACTTTAATTCAACAACGTCTACCATTTTATCTTTCCCTCCCATCTTTTCAGACACAGACGCGAATCAACGAGCTCCAGCGAAAGATTGTTCAAAGTCAACAGGGTTGCCATAGAACACGCAATCGTGCCAAAAACCAGCGCAGAACACATATTGCCACATTTGGTGAAATTAGGGCGTATATCAGAGTTGTACCGTTCTCTCAGTATATTTTGGTTAAGGTGCTGAGGATCTAAACATACTCTTAAATTACCATCCTTTTCCTTACTACCATTAATGAATTCACAAATTCTGTTGGTTGGTTAACTTTCTTTATAATACCACTTTTCCCATTCTTGCTAATTCCAATTTTAATGAATTTAATAAGCTAAGTGGAATTTTCCTACAGGGCTCTATTTTACCAATAGCTCCTGGTTTCAATTCAATATGATATGTATATCCAGTTAAATTCCCTTTAATTCCTTTAAACAAATCTTGATATCCTTTTAAAGATTATGGTAACTTTTCATTGGAATCAGGATTTACTGTACAAATCCTTTGTACTAGGTTTAATTTTTGCAATGTAGGTAAACCTAAAATAGCTGGAAAAGTTTTATCAGATGCTACAACTTGAAATTCTACTTCATCCTTGTCCCCTTTCGATGTTTCACATAATAATTTGTATTTTCTGACTACATCAGTTATCCAGATAATTATTTAAACTGACTTTATTTAGTCAAACATTTATCTCTTAAATTTAATTATTTAAATTTAGGTAAAATTAGGGTGCATAATTTTGTTTTTCCGTCAGGGTATAGATATATATCAGTGATCCACACCTTATATCTTTATATGTTTCAGATTTCACGCAAATAAAAGTTGAACCTGTTGGTAAATGGTTTGAAAGCTTTCAGTCTCATATAGCTAATGAATATACGAATAATATCTCTCTCGAAGATTCAGATTTAAATGAAGATGATGATGATGAATTGCAAGAAGCAGAGTTCGAAGATAATTCTGATTATCTTAGAAAGTTAGATCCAAAAGATTGGAAGGTAAATTGATATGAATCATATTTCAATTTAAATGATAATCGAAATATTATATATATAATTTATATTGTAGATATGTATGTAAATATATTTAAATGAGATTTATTTTTCCCTAAAGCAGTGTATGTTTCTATTATTCTTATTTGTTGGTTGGTTTGGACTTCTTATACCTTAAAAATATAAAAAATGGAGAATTACTACACTAAAACACTCGAGCTAAAAATATATGTTTAGTAAAAGGTAAAATGCTGCTTCCTTAAGTTCTGGAGCCATATTTCCATTTACATCTTTATGAAAAATCAATCATTAGAAAGAAATATAAGCTCCTATGAATGGCAGTAATAAAATTTATAAAAATCTCTGTAAAACTAATTTAAAAATTTTTATCTTCCCTTTATTTTCTTATCTTTACACTAGATACGAGCTTTGAAGCAAGCAAAGAAATTGCAAACCAACAGTTTCTTTATAGATTCATTTTTATATATCTCAGTATACCATACATACCTCAGTGCCTGCTTTAAATTCTAAAAACTTTGCCATCCCTAGTTTTATTGCTCAGTGCTTCGCTAAATTCTAAAAATTCTGCCTCAGTGACTCTGGTGTTGGCTCTGACCTTATACCATTTCATATTTATTCTCGGTACTATTATCTAAGAAATAAAATTGGTCTCTTTTGTAGATTCTAAGTACAAGCAGTTCTTTAAAATAACAGACATCTTTAATTAAATCTGATAATTCTAAAATGAAAAGGAAACTCATTGAAGAAAAAAATTATTTTATAAAAGAGAGAAGATTTTTTTCAAAGTACATTGTCGAAACATTAACAAATTAGGAGATAAAGTAGGCGAATTAGTGGGAACATTGATTTGCTTATTGAAACAAACTTAGAAAAGATACTAAAAAGAAGTAATTTTGCGTAAATTAACTAAAATATTTGGAAAATTTTCAGATTAGAAAGATCCATAAATATTTTGTTGCTTGTTGTTGTTACAAAAGATAATTATATAATTACACCTATCCCTCGATTCACACAGAAGATAGGTTCCACACAAAATTGTGTAAATTGAAATCTTGGATTTTGCTGCATGAAACCGTGCAAAACGAAGAACACACTAAATGTGCATAATTTGGGTATTTATTTACATTAAACAAAAGTAAGACATCTTAAAATAAATAAAGTTATACTTCATTTATAAATAACAAATATATGTAGGTAATAATAGTAAATAATTTATTTTGCATTAGGAAAATATAAGATCATTAAAAAAACTATCACCAATTTCATGAACTATTAGTCTTTTTTTCTTGATTGGTATGATGTCACTTTCATCACCTGAGAATTCTTGATAAGATTCTGCTTCAATGGTTGACGAATTAGGGAAGATCTCAGGTCGACGAGACTTTATAGTGAAATCTGTAATTAACAATTGCCTAGGTTTTTGTTTTCCTAAATCTTTGTAAACCTTCTCATATTGATTGAAGCACTTACTAAGCTCCTTTTGGAATCGGAGAGCTCGTTTAACATTCATGTCGTATTGTAAAAATGATTACCAAATTTTCTTCCCAGTTCAAGTCCTATGCTGATGACTCTTGCTGTGAACGCTACTGGTTCAGATTGCTCTTCATCAGAATTGTCTTGATCATTTTTATTTGTTTCATTAATCATGTTAACTAACTCATCCTCATTTAGTTCTTCATCAGCCATTATTTCTTCAATATCTGTCTCAGCTAAATCCTGAAAACCTTCTCCTCCTATAGTTTGGACCAATTTAGTGATCTGAGAATATTCATGCTCTAAGTGGTAATCTATTACTCTCATCTTTAGCAGCATCCTGCCATATTTCTTTCCAGCATGCGTTGAGTGTTGATTGTTTAATCTGAGTATATGACAGTCTAACATGCTTAACACAATCTAAGATCGTAAATTTCTTCCAAGCATCCATAAAAGTAAGAGATTCATCATTCTCCATTTGTTTTAAAATGTACCTGAAGGTTTGTTTGATATACAATGCCTTAAACGTCCAATTATTCCTTGATCTAACGGCTGTAATAAGGAAGTTGTAATCTTTGGTAAAAAGACAAATTCTACATTTTTGTTTTATGAATCTTTATGATGACCAGGTGCATTATCAATTAACAGAAGACCCTTAAAAAGCAATCCTTTTTTAATTATGTCATTTTTGACGTTTGGGACAAACATGTTATGAAGCCATTCATTGAAAGCTATGGCAGTGACCCATGCATTCTTATTAGCTGTCCTGTGAACGGGAAGGTTATTTATGTTTATTCCTTTAAATGAGTGTGGTGTTTTTATTTTGTTAATAACGAATGGTTTCATTATATAATCACTTGAAGCGTTGCAACAGAAAAGAATTGTTATACGACTTTTCGCTACCTTATGACCACTAGCTGATTTGTAAGCTTTAGCTAAATAGGTTCTTTCAGGCTTTTTTTTCCAGAAAAACCGGACTCGTCAGCATTGAAGATCTGATCAGAAGTGTAAGAGTTGGTGCCAATGATTTCAGTAAATTTGGCTGCATATTGTTGTGACAGATAGTCCGTTTCTCAGAACGTACAACGAAACATCCAGTTGGGCTTAAACTCAAAACTATAAGAAATAATTTAACTAATGACTAACTAAAGAGATTTAGCCGCTAAAACAGTTCTAAATAGTTGGTTCCTAAATATAGAATTAGCTAGTGAAGCTATCAAGGGCCCGTAATGCGGTAAGCACAACAGCTTAGAGAGATGTGGCCAAAAGGCAAATGTGTGCTAGTCAGAAACTGCCCCACTCTCTCGAATTCAGTGGAACTTCGACATCCTTCTCATTTGCATGAAACACAATTCTAGAAATGCATTCTGGTAAGGAATTTATAAGCTGAAATTAGGAGAGATAGAGAAGGAGCTTTAACCTAAAAATAACTGTTATAAGCTTATGATAAACCTTACAATCTTCAATTAATCAATTGGAATCCGTTTTTGATTATGGTATTCTGTCCATATCACTAATGCCTTTTCCATATTTTTCATTGTATCATCTCCTACATATGAAATTGTGCTCTTACTGCTGCATAGAGCTGGAGCAAACCACATGTATTCGTTACCGAGTAACGAGTACATTGGTTGTCTCGAAGTACCGATTCGGTACTCACAAATTCATTTCGTTACTCGCATCTGTCGTACGATGCGGTTTATTCGAGTACGAATGATGCGGTTGCTATTCGAATACGTATGATGCTTGTTGCTATGCGAATACGAATGATGTGGTTTCTATGCAAATATGAATGACGCGGTTGCTGTTCGAATACGAATGATACATTTCCTAACAATACCCATGTGCCACATTTTTCATTGATAATTTCGAATTTTTTTGGTGAACTCATCGGGCAAAACTCTTGTTTACATTATGTGTTTTAGTTGAAATATTGTTTAGTTGTTGATATTGAAGAAAATGATCAATTTTTATAGCATGAAGCGTTATTTTGTATTTGCTTTTTACATTTAGATTTATAGTGCATATTATGTTTGTAATTTGAAAATTTAGATGATTATTGATTTTTTTTCCTTGAGCGTGCCAAAAGGAGATTTAATTGATTTGAAATATTTATACACTTAGGTATTGTTTAAATACCTTAGGTACACTTATACACTTAGGTATTGTTTAAATAACAATATGTAGGTTAATATAAGTTCTTTACGAAATAAAAAGGAAGTAAGTATTGTAATCAAGAAAAATTTTTAGTTATCATATTTCAACGGAAATATCCATTTTTAACGATTACAGAATCCATGTGAATTATTTTTTTGGGTGACGTCTGTACGTACAAACACATTTTTTTTTTTTTTCCCCCAGAAACGGATTGTTAAATGTAATCCCATTTACTCTAAGCTGATACTTATGACTAATGATTATGACTCTAAGTTGATACTTGAAAGGGATTTTTTCGTGATGTGTAAGTACGTATATATGCATTTCGCATAACTCAAAAACGATTAGTTCTAGAACGTTGAAATTTTGTATATGGGCCCGTTATAACATCTAGATGTGCACCTCCCTTTTTATTGCAATCGGTAATACTACAAAACGTAAATATGTATATTTTAAATAAATTATAATTAAATGTAAAGTACATATATATATATATCCTTATAATTAAATGTAAAGTACACACACACACACACACATATATATATATATATGTACATATAAATATAAAATAAAAGCCAAGTAAGGCGAAAATAAAAGCCTTGGTTTTTATTTTATTTATTTATCACTAAGTAAGTTACTTGGCTTTTTTTTTCGCTTATATTTTATTTTTATTAAATCGTTGGTTGTAGTCAGGACTTAATTTTTAAAATTAGAAGTGCTGGAGCTCTATGGAAGGCCATCAGGAAAGATGAATAAATAAATAAATAAATAAAAATAAAAAATAAATAAAATAACTAATGCAATAATAAAATAATTAACAACTAGAATATTAAATGATTATTATTATAATTCAATAAAAATGTAAAGACAAATGAAAATTTAATTAATTCTTAAATTAATGATGAACAACTAAGTAATGAAATAAAATACCAGACATCGTCTGGTTTGGGGGCTGTGGCTGAAATTGCAATTTAAGAACCAAGCCAAGCATTAGCTAAATTTAGGCCCTTGATGAGCAAATAATGTACTGTTTACCAGAGTATAGATAGAAATTTGGTTATGTAGCCTATTCTTCTAAAACGATGTTTCGTCGCTGCCTTCCCCCACCAATTCCCTTTTTTTCGGTTTCGGATTATTTGGTTACGGCAATGCACACTAGGGCTATTGCCTAAGGGAAGGGATGCCTTCGTGGAGGACTTTTTAAAGGAAACTGGCTCATATGCAAGTTACACATGGGGAAAACCACGAAAACGCCCGTGCAGCCAGCCGTTAGCCGGGAATTGAACCCCGGACCGAACTATTAGTCTTCAGCGACTTTACCGCTCGAGCGCTGGTGGGCTCTTCGCTGTTTGAAA